ATATCTTTAAAAAAATGAGGGGATAATGACCATCATACTCCGTGCCAGACAAGGCCCTTGGCTCCTCCAATGTGCTGTCTTGTGGGATCCTGATGGCCTTCCCAGGGGGTGTCTTTATCGGCAGATTTACGGGGACGGAGGCTCTGCTGTCTGTCAATGGGCTTTCACTAGGACCTGCTTCAGATCCCTGTGTATGCGGCACCAGAGTCTACACGATCTTTCCGGGACGCCGAGCCACAGGCAGGCTCCTGCCTCCATTCCCTCAGTGAGGGGCTGCTGGGCCCTGGATCTGCCTGGACCGCCTGCAACCCCTGTCTGCCCAGGGCCCGGGGTTCAATGGGCGCAGTGGTCCACAGGCAAGACCTCATAACCGGGGATGACCATTGGTGTTGTGATGAAGCCCCCGCTGGAGGGACGCTCGTTTCCTGGGGGCCAGGGCGGCTGCTCCGAGGGGGATTCAAGAGGGAGACTCAAGAGTCCGAGAGGGCACATGGGCCTGGGTGAGGCCAAGCCAACGAGGCAGAGAAGGTGGTGGCGGAAAGGTGGAAGGGGTGCAGTGTGGCTGCCCACGGTGAGGACGGTGTAGCAGAGGGGCCACACCAACCAGTCTTCTGGACCTGAGCACAGACTCTGGGTTTCTTCCTAAGGACAGAGGTTGAGCACATGGTGATTTTAGGTGGGGAGTGGCTTTCCAGGAGTCATTCCTGAACCGGCCACGTGCCTTCAGGCTGCAGACTGGTGGGGCCCGGGCAGGAGGTGGCGGGTGGCTGCGCCTTCATGGCCTCCACCCTGAGCCTGAGTCCTCATCGCCAGCTCGCCCCAAAGTACAGAAATCCCTCGTGGCCACAGACCAAGGGTCCAGGCTCACCGTGGATGTTGTCTCCGTGCTGTCGACTTCTGCCTGGGCGGGGGGGTGGGGTGGGGATACAAAGAGGGCTGTCAGGTGTTTGTGGCGCATCCGTCCATCAGTTTGGGTTGGTCTGCTGTTCTCATGGCTTGACCGGGGTTGTGGGGTTTGGAGGGAGCCCACAGAGCTGAAACACCCTTCTTGTCGCATCATGTCTAAGGTCAGTACTGTCGGCACAGCGTGTTCCTGAGGCGGGGCAGGGGGCTGTGACCCACACACCCATGACAAGCAGAACAGTGGGCTCTGGGATTTGGAAAGGCATGAGACAGGTGCCCCTCGAGGAGTTCCCAGCCATGGTATGGAAGGGACGGAGGCATGCAGACAGCTATGGTGGGGCGGGGCATGGCCCGTGACAGGCTTGAGAGGGGGAGGGGCACGAAGGGCAGAGAGCGGCGGGAATGAACTGACGCTGTGAGGTGGGAACTGTCAGAGGAGGCTATATGGACACCTTGTTGGAAAGGGTTTCTAAAGGATGGTCAGGCTCATGGTGAGGAGGGGTGTGGCCTGGGGGCTCAGCACATGGACGGGCACTGGACTGGCACTGGGCTGGCTTTGCATTTCTAGGGCATAGTGTTGATGTGGCAGTGGGGACGTGGGACTGTGGAAGGCCGGCAGGTCACTCCAGGACTTGGGCCTCCTTGTGTAGGCTGAGAGGTGGTGGAGGGCGCTCAGGGAGCTGCGTGGCTGGCCCTGGTGGAAGCAGGTGTTGGGAGGGCCGTGAGGAGCTGATCATCTCAGGCTCCACCAGAGGCAGGGGAGGACCTTAGCCGGGACAGGGCAATTGGGAGAAAAGGATCAAATGAGTCAAGACATTAAGAAGGGAAGACAAACGGGATTAAGTGGAGACGGGGCCAGCCTGAGACCTGAGGGGCAGTGGTGGTCCCTTCCCCTGGGCTGGATAGAAGGTAGGTCTGCTCGCCCTGCCAGGGACCGCAGGGACACGTTTCCAGGTGACAGGAAGCAGAAGGGGATCAGCTCCATCTACAGAGTCAGACACGTGTGGCCAGATCTGGGATGGAGATTAGAATCTGTGGGTCATCTGTCTGTGTGTGGTGGGGAGCTGGGTGAGGGCCCGGGAGAGACGGTCCTAGGACACACCCATAGGAGCTGGTCAGGAGCGGGTTTCCTGGGGCCTGAGTGTTGGCCAGCTGACAAGCTTTACAAATAGGCAACCACACCAACAATATTAGATGTTGCAGGTAAATATCATTCTAGTGTCTTTATGTTTCTGGAACATTCATGTAGTAGGATTAGAGACTAGCTCTAATGCGTTATAAACCAGTTTCTGGGCTCTTTGCTTCCTTGTGCTTGGGTGTCTTGGCAGAAGAAGCTGTACCCCTTTCATTGACCCCTAGGTCCTATTTGACACCCCTTTGCCTGACCAACTTTCCCTGACCCCCTTGCTACGGCAATTTGAGCCCACCCACCCAGTTTTTTTTCCACTGGTGGAAAAAAACCAGTCCTAGCTGGTGTTGGTCATAGTCACGGGGGCATCTAGGCAGCTCACAAAATGGGAAGCCTCTTTTTCTGGCATGATGGACTGAGCTGGGTCGGGAGCCTGGACCTCCAGCTGGCCTCCTGATTTCTCAGGTCTTGAGTTCGCACGTCCAGGGCACGGCTTCTACGTGCTCTCGGCTCTAGGGACCCCTCTCCTTTGTTCCTGCGCCATTCTCTGCTAGGCTCTGAAATGCAGGTGACGGATTATCCACTTGGCAGGTTAATTAACTTTCCGTATTGTCCTCTCCCCGCCCCCTCCCTCTTCCTCTAAGTCAGTGGCAAGCGTAGGCTGAGGCAGCGTCCTGTCCCGGCCATGTTTTCGGCTGTCATTCCTTCAGTCTTGGATCAATGGTCTGGAATCACAGATGTCTCTTCCTGGATTTCTGTAATTTTTCCAGAGGTTGATTCAGGCTCCTCCTCACCGAGCATCAGGCTCAACTCACCGGAGGAGGAGAGCGGAGCCCCCGGGTGCTCATGACAGCTGACATATTCCCCACAAGCTGAGGAATGAGTCCCATTAAATCAGGATTTATGATCAATCCTCATAAATTAAGGCTGCCTCGTGAGCCCCAGGTGAGACCCTTGCCAGTGAGTCTTTGTTAATTAGCATGGGAAGCGTCCCTGCTTACTCAGGGAGAAAAGCCAGCGACCGTGTTTGTTGAAACCATGTCCTTCCATTGCACGGTGGCTGTCTCTCATGCCAGCGGCACAGACCCGGGTTGGGTGGGCAGCTGCCTACCATGGGCCACACTATGGCTAGGGATAGACAGTTAAGACCTAAGCGCCCCAGTTCTAGAAGCCTCAACACCATGGCCATTTCTGGGTATTCCGTTTTGCTCTGGGGTAGAATCAGAAATCAAAGCCATCTCTCTCTTTCTCCAGAACTCACACACACTCACACTCGCACACACCACTGCTCTGAGCTTGCTTCTTGCCAGGTGGGTGCCCGTATCAGCTACTGAGGTTTTCCTCTCATGTCTTCATCTCTAAAATAGGGGTAGCATGATCATAACCCCCACCGCCCCCACAGCTGGTTGAATAGTGCCTCTGCCCGACCCTGCCAAAAAATACACCTGTATCCAAACCCCTGGCCACCTTCCCACCCAGGGAACGTGGCCTTATTTGAAATTAGGTTCTTTGCAGACACGATTACTTTAGGATCTTGAGAAGAGGTTATTCCGCATGAGGGTGGGCCCTAAACCCTAGGACTGGTGTCTTTATGGGAAAAGGAGAGGACAAATGGATGTGCAGAGAAGAAGACCATGTGGAGAGGTAGGAGGGAGGCAGCTGCAAGCCAGGGAATGTCCGGAGCCTCCCTAGGTCAAAAAGACACATGGAGGATTGTCCCCATGACCCTAGAGAGCATGACCCTGCCAACACCTGATTTCGGACTTCCGGCTTCCAGAACTGTGTGAGAAAAAAATATCTGTTGTGTGAATCCACCCAGTCTGTTCAGCCCTCTGCTCCCAAGGAAGTGGTTTGCCGCCTGCCTGGGGCTTCGCGGCGCCGCTGGGGCTCCCCTTCTGGTTTTTGCTTCTGGATGTCGCTCCCTCAGAATCTCAGGAATCTCCACCAGGCCGCTGACCTTCCGAGCCAGGAAGGAGAAAATTATTTTCAATGATTTTCAATGATTTCACTATTTTACTATTTCATTGTAAACACTTTGGGGGTGTTGGACAAGTCATGTCAGCTCTTTGTGGGGTATGTGTGGATTCCCACAGTAATGGTTTCAGCCCCCAGACTGGCAGGTGGTTGGAAACTGTGCATCACACCAGCACCCTGATGTCAGTTTCCATCTTGCTGATGTGATAGAGGAGGTGCTGGGGCCCCAGACAAGGCCAGCGTAATGGCTGGGGTCACAACCACTTTTCCTGGACACCTTGTACCAGAGTATCACCTGGATGGACAAATGGGCCACTTATTTAAAAATAAAACTGGTCTCCAGAATTCCACCAGACGAACTGAGTCAGAATCTTCTGGATGTCACATGCTTGCTGGGAGTCTTTGAGAGCTCCTGGGGTAGCCTAGGTGAAGTTGATCGTCCATGCTCAGGTCACGGGAGCGCCCTAGAACCAGGGACCAGTGTCCACGGTCTGCTCCCCTGAAGAAGCTGGTTCAGTGGGAGCTCTCAAGGGGGACTGGAGCTGCCTCCCCTTTTGCATGGCAGACACTGAGAGAAAGGAGCTGCAAAGGTGCTGGTCCTTCCAACCACCCATCGCTCCTGAGCCCACAGGGCAGGCAGGAGACCTCCATTTTGGAAAGTTCTCTGGCAGATTTGAGCCTTGTAGAAACCTTCGGATAAAGGATGCATTTAAGTGGGGGATCTGATTAAAGCTTCAGAATGAAGTCTAACCAATTTGTTCAAATAGTAAATGAGGCTTTAAATCAGAATGATTTTGGCTCAGATGGCCTGGGATCCTGGGAGCCTCGAAGAGTAAGAATCCAGGCCAGAGCTGCAGAGTCCGCCGCTGGAGCTTAGCAAGGAGTAGCTGGAAGGTCACGGCTCGCGTGCGTGTGTGCATGTGATGGCTACATTATCCGTATCATGTAACCACATACATTTCTCATTCTCATGCGATGGCTCATTTTTTTTTAGATCAACAGATCCTTTGCCAGACGCAGAAAATCCTGCATTTACAAAAGGCCCCCAGAAAGCATTTTCTGTGAGTGTGCTGGGGAGGCCGCTCAGGCCCATGCAGAATGCTATCTGTAAGAGGCTTCTCTGTGGCCGTGAGCCACTTGGCATGACAGCTCTCCATTCCAGGGTGTCCTCCGCAGCTGGAGTCAGGAGCATAAGCTTGGCTCAAGAACATATACTCTGGGCAAGGTGAGCAGAAGGAAGGGAGCAAACGTGTGGGGGGGGAGTGTGGTGTCCGTCCCTGGCTCAGGGCCCATGTTTGACAGGTGAGGAGTCTGTCTGGGCCTCATCCTTTCCCCTGAGGAAGGAGAAGCTGAGCTCTTTTTCTAGGAGGAGTCATAGTGTATTTGGAAACACACAGGGTGAGATCTGGTCTTAGCAATGGGGACAGCGTTCAGCCTAGACAAGACCACCTCGCCATCACATTTGATGTGACCTCCTTGGAGCTCTGCCTTTCTGGATGACCACTTTCAGGGCCTTCCCTCCCGCCACTTCTCTACCTGTCCTCATTGCCTGGGTATGTTCCTTCTCCTGTTCTTAGTTCCTTTGTGGACTGTCCTCTTCTCTCCATCCCCCAAGGGTCCGTCCTGAGCTCTCTTTCTACTCTCCTCACCACAGCCCCTGTTCTCCAGGAAGGCTGAACCCCACTGTTTCTGAGCAGGCTTTCCTGTCACCTGAGCTCCAGTCCCACACATGACTCAGGATGTCTCCATGGCCATGGGGAACTCAGTGTTTCCAAAAAGGGATTCCTGTCATGAAGCCAGAAGTCCCAGAAGTGACCCGGACTGAGTCTTCTCCCTTTGCATCTTGTTCTCTCTTCCTTGGACCCGTATCTGTGCCACCTCCTGTGTGGCTATTCTCAGACCAACCTTCTGAAAGCCTTCAGTTGGATCCCCTTCCCAGCATGGTGCACGAGTCCTTCTCAGCTTGTCCTTTCCAACCTCTTCCACCACCGTACATTGATGTTCTACTTACACCGTCATTTATGACCCCTGTTCTCCAGTGCGCCCTCTGCCTAGGTCCATCTGTCCTCCTCCTGGTGGACTTCTAATCATCCTTCAAGACTCTGCTCAAATGCACCTGGTTTGGAAAGATTTCCTGAGTCCCCAGCAGAACCCATTAGTCCTTCCACTCTGAGCTCTGCCTCTGTCTCAGCAGTGTCTCCTGTGTTGGGCTCCCCCCTCCCCACTTTTCTCCTCCTGAAGGTCATGCATCTCAGGGTGTGGACACTGTTCTGTTTATCTGCTTGTCTCTTGCCTGTCCTCACTGCCTCACTCCAGCACCCAGGCAGATCCATCAGCCGGGCTTGGCAGCAACCTGGTGAAGGCTGCTGAATGCAAATCTGCAAGGCAGGGCTTGGGGCCAGGCAGAGGGACCTGGATGTTCACATTCTGTTCAAACGTTCCCCAATTCCAAGAGGTGATGGTCGTTCTGGTTACTCTTGCAACATTGTCATACCTTCTTTTTTCTCTTTCTTCAATTTTATCATTTCTTCCTTCTGAGTCCATCTGAGTCCCAGGCGAGACGGGAAGAACTCATGGCCAGTTTGGAGCGTGAGCAATGAGAACCATGGAAAGGAGGGGAACTGGTGTTTTCCTTCTCTTCTTATCCTGTCTTTTTTTTTTTTTAAATCCAGATACAATTCACGTTCTAGAAAATGTACCCTTTCCAACTATACAAATCAACTGTGTGTGCGTTTTTATAATATTCACAAAGCCGTGCAAATGTCACCACTCTGACTCCAAAATGTTCTCATCACCGCCAGAAGAAAGTCATTAGCTGTCACCTGTCACTCCCCCTTTCCCATCCTGTTAACTTCTCACCATAGCATTGTACACATCTTTTTTTTTCCCTTGAGATAGCATAAAATTAAGAAAATTTTAGTTCTAGAAAATTTTAAAGGACACGTAGAACCTCATCTTCGCAGACTTAACTCTATGGAACCATGCCTCTGTATATAGGGATGTAGGATTTACTATTTACAGTGTTTAGAACCATGCCTGGGGCATGCTAAAGGCTATAAATGTGTTTGCTAACCACATAGCTGAGTGGCAGTGTTATCAGGAGAGGTAGGATTTCAGGATTCATTATAGACACACAGATTCCAAGTTTTCTCTACAGGATCTAATGGAAAATCCCATCTGTTCAATTGAGGACAAACACCGGATTTGAAACACAAGGATGTCTCTAAGAAGGGGATGATTCCTTATTAAATATTGGAAAATATTCCTAACTTCCCACCAGAGAAAAGCCATGGAAAAAAACCAATTTCAAGAAAAATGCAGTCCAATGAAAGTGGAATTACAACATTTTGCTATAATTTCAAATAAGTGGATTCTTTCCATTTGATATCAGTTGTATTCCCACTGGGCACCTCAGTATCGATATTTCCTACTGACATCAGCAAGGAGCTCTGGGCGCGCTGGGCAGTCCTGCAGTGCACGGATATGCCACTCTCTCCTCTGCAGGATGGAGAGCTTTTAACAACGTAGGCCTATGACACAAGGTTTTTAGAATGAACTTAAAAATAATAATAAAGCCTAATTCAGCTTTTGGCATTAATTTCTTGATTGCTAACATGATGCATTTCTGTAAGAAGAGCTCATTTCACGACCTTTAAGGACACGATGTATCTAACCTGCAGGTGCTGGTGAGAACAGCAGAGCCAGCTGGAGGCTCTGGGAGGAATTCCATCTGGAAGGAAGCACGATGTGTCCAGAGGGCAGCAGGGTCTGGTGGAGTCAATGCTGGCGAGGGTGTGTGTATTGTGGCAAGACTCTGGACTAGGGTGCAAATTCGGGCCAGCAGATGGAGAGGCTGGAGCTTCCTGGGACTGAACCAGCAGGCAGGAGTCAGTCCAGGTGGGTGGCTTGGGCAGAGAGCAAGGGAAGCAGAATGCAGACCTACATGGGGACCCAGATTCCTGAGGTGGCTAAAGGTGGTGACTTGGCCCCAGGAGCTGGAGCTGGCCAGAGCAGAGCTGTAGCAGAGTTGCCCACCTGGGGCCAGGTGGGCTGAGGACAGAGAAGCCTCCTTAGCATGCAGAAGTACTGTAATATGAGTGCTGGCAGGGGGAGGCTGCAGGGGGCTCGGTTGGCTGGGGTTATGAGGACAGGTGAGTCTGAAAGAACATCTGATTGGTCTTTGCAGTGATGGGGTTATGAGCATTCACACCAGGTGGCCACTCTTCTCTGGTAGTGTTCCCACTTGGTCTGTAAATAAGGTCCATCTAGTAAGGACTAGATGTGTCGGCCAAGGCCATACTGGTGAGAAGACATCTGATGCTGGCTTCAGCATGTGACCTCTGGAATAAGGCAGGTGTGGGCTCAAATCCCAGCTTTATTACTTGCCAATGTCATGGCCTTGGGGTTGTTATTGATCCCTCTGGGACAGGGCTAATTAAAAGCACTGTTATAAGGATGCATGAGATAATGTTGGCAAAGAGCACCCATGGTTATAGCAGATGAAGCCCAGGAAGGTCATTCTCCCTGATTGCACTGGCTACCTACAATCAATGCCATGACCACAGCCATCTGCCTCGCCATTAGTTTACTGGCCCCCACATCCATGTTTCTTAACTTCTAAAATGTTTTGAGTCACAAACTCCTTTCAAAACCTGATGAAAACTCTGCCTACTCCCTCCACAAATATCCAAGCACACCTTTTGCAAGGGATTTCAGAGGGTTCACAGATACTCAAGTTGAGAATCCCTGCTCTTGAGTTCAAGGCTGGTTTTATAAGTGTCATTTTGCCAGTCACTGGCCATATGTGTGTGCAATCCTACCTTAACATTCTGATTTGTGGAACTGACTTGGTACCTGATACACACTGTGCTCTATGCATTGATTGATCGGCTAAGTAAGACCATGACTCTGGCATAGCCCATGAAACCCCTCTACTCATTTCTGGCAGCTATCTGGACAGCTTCTGAGCCTACAAAAAAACCCTGCTGCTTGGAAGTTAGGGGGCCCCTTCTCCTTTTTGTCCTGCTGAAACCGTCTTTCCACAGGGATACATCAAGTTATGATCTGAACATGCTGTGTTGAATTCTATCATAGGTAGACATCAAGTTATGATCTGGATCTGACCTGCCTTTATTTCTGGTTTCCCTTCTAATTTCCCCTTTCCACAACTTCATAAAGTCCCATGTTCTCCTCCCCAGTTGATATTTGGTGGGAATTCTGCATGAAGGAGACAATGAGATGGGATGGCTTGATAAGCAACAGAGTAGTGTGCATCAATAAAATAAGTAATGGGGAAGATCTTTAAGAGTTGATATGATATGATTTCCAGATTGGGTGAGGATATCTCAGGTGCAAAAGACTGTCAGAAAGGAAGAATAAGAATAGATGATTATATTTGCATATTGTGCAAAAGGAGGGACAGAAATGGCAAAGTAGAAGTTAGTCAAAGTGGTGACCTTTGGGGATTGGGTAAGAATGGGGTAGAGAGAAGGGATGGAAGATAGGTTGTTTGAGTATAATTTTGTATATAATTGTGATTTTTGCACCATACATATTCTAATGTTCAAAAATAGAGTTTAGTTTTTTTTTTTGTTTGTTTGTTTGTTTAGAGAGGAAGGAGCAGTGGGTGAGGGAGAGAGAGAGAATCTTAAGCAGGCTCCATGCTCAGTGCAGAGCCTGACACGGGGCTCGATCTTACGACCCTGAGATCATGACCCAAGCCCAAATCAAGACTCAGATGCTTAACTGACTGAGCCACCAAGGTGCCCCTCAAAAATAAAGTTTAATATGAAATGATAAAAAGAAAGCAAACTCTAGTATTAAAAACATAAGCTAATTTAGCTGTGTGTCAAATTGATAATTCTAACTGTACAAGAGAAAATTTAATTCAAATAACTTTGAACTTGGCTAATGAGATTTGTTATTGCAAGAGGCATAACTGCTGTAATTATGTAATTTCAAATTACTTGTAAATATTTTGGGATAGATAAAAGACATGAATCTGTCCATGTTGGGGTCCAGGGCTCTCACTGTGGAAGAGGGAGCTGTGAATATGGGATGGGGCAGATGGGGAGGAGCCTGTGGTGTTGGGTTGATCCAGAAGTATCAGAGTAGAATGTGTATCTATCGGTTATTTGGGACCAACAGCACAGAGGTGCAGTGACATTCCGGTTATGATGGGCACACCTACCACCCAGATACTGGCTTCTAAATACCGTCCTCCACTAAAGGGAATCAGAACTCTTGGAGAGATGGCTGCTGTCTGCAGGGAGGCTTACTGAAATCAGGAATGTCTAACCTCAGAAGCCAGGGGGTTGCTCCTTGGCTGGTAGGAACCTGTGAAATCACAGGAGCAGGCAAGGAGGGGCTCCCAGTAGAGTCCATCTATCAAAACAGTAACTATGTATGGCAACAACACCTGGGTGGTGTTCATGCCCAAACTATTAATAAAGGGGAAATGATCAGGCAAATCCAGAATGCCAGACATTCTGCAAGACAACCAGCTTAGACTCCATTTAATGTCAGGAAAAACAAACACACCACGGTGGTAGATGGAGGACTGTTCTAAAATAAAAGAAATTAAGAAAAAAAAATGAAAACAATAAAATATGGTGAAAGAAGCTTAACTGGATCCTGGGGGCAAAAACTACCACCTCTGTAAGAGGCATGCTGGGACAAATGGGGAAGGTGAACAGAGCTTCAGAATGGAGGGTGCTTTTCTGTTCTGATTTCTATTTGTGGGTGCACTCATGACGTGTGGTCCCCTTGGGAATAGTGCTCCCAGAACTGAGCATCCAGCCTGTTGGGGGCCTGGGGCTTCCTCCATCCCTGTCAGCTGGGAGGGTCCCAGTGGCTGGCAGGAGCCTACCAGTTCTCTGCATGTCAATGTGTCCTTCCCTGTAGTCCTGCCTCATTGGGGGGGACCAGGTCATTCCCCTGCTCCTGCTCCAGCTCTGGATCTGCTTTATTCTATCATCCCATAACCCCTCCAGATCCCTGGAATGTACGGAAGAAGATTTTACTGGTGTAGCCAAGTCCTTGCAGCCAGGCCACACCTTTTTTTCAATGGGTGGGTTTCTGCCTCATAAAACGCCTTCACGTGTAAGCTGGTCATAATTTTCACTTTTCCAAACAGCCCTGTTTCCTCACTTCCTCCATGGGGGGTTGGATCAATGTGCCAGGATGAGGCAGGGATTCTGAATTCCCAGACCTTGTGGGGTTGAGTCTCCCCTAAAGGGCCATCGCGGGCATATGAAAGGAGTCCATACTGGGGGAGTTAGGGATTGGGGTCTTCGTGAGCTAGTTGTGTATCCTTGGGCTCCGTGGTTGGTCACCTTGGGTCAGTGGACTTGGTGCTTCTTTGTGGCACCGTGGCAAACACCGGAGTCACCTGTGGACCAGGAACAGCAAAGGAAAATCAACACCACCAAACACGTGGCTGGCTCCAGATCCTGGGGGCTCTTGTCCAGCAGGCCTGGGCGGGGCCTGCAGGCATGTACTTTTAGAAAGTTCACGGGTCTTCTGACACATGTGTCTGTTGGAGAGCCACCAGACCAGAATGACATCCAACAGAGCTCTTTCCAGGGGAGGGGCTGGTAAGTGACTTCCAAAACGTCTCCGAGGCTCAGAAAAACAACAGCAAAGGAGTGACTCAGTGCTTGGGTCATGCACATTCTTCCCGAGTGAGGCTGAGCCACCCCAGAGCCCCTGCTCTGCGCTCCCATCTGCTGTTCCCCCAGATGCATGACACCCCCTCCACTGGGTGGTGAGGGGGGATGTTTTCATGTTCGCTGGCCGGCCCTGGGCCTTCCAAGGGGTCATTTGAGCCTGAGTGGGACTGTTAAAGAAAAATAGTGGAGGGGATGAAAAATGGGCTTGATTTCAAAGAAGTGTGTTTGCAGACAGGGGAGGGCAGGCTTCCCGGGCAGGCTTTGCCTCCGAGTGCTGAGTCACGACCCACCGCTGGCTCAGCACTGTTTCACAATCAGCCTCGGGGTTCACTTGCATCAAGCCCATTCCAAGAAAAAGCCCAAGCCTGGCCTAGCAACGTGCTTTTTTGGTGTGTTAAACACAAAGACGAACTGTTCAAAATATGAGAGAAAACAGTCTTGCAAGTGTTATGGGCGGGTTTCCTAAGAATTCCTTGGAGATTTTGGACCTCATTTTTTTCTCTGGTTCTATTAGTTTGGAATACTGTAGCCCAAACAGTTAGCTGCCCTGGAAAACATTTATCTAGCTCCTAGTTGCTCCCTACCTGGTATCTCAGGCAAACACCTGGGCCCTTCTCTGAGAAGCCCAGGGGAAGGTCACTGATGTTCACGTGGGAGGGACTGGAGACCCGCCTGGGGTCCGGTGTCCTGACGTGTCCATGGTTTCTGCAGCTACTTGCTCTCCTGAATGACACCTCCTGGCCCACCTGGGCCTACCAGGCAATGTCTTTCCACCTCACCTTTTGAGATTTGGTCCCTCTGAACAGGAGTCTGTAGCTTATGTTGACATCGGTGAGAAAGCAGAGCCAAAGGTTTCATTAAAATATGGACTGAACAGGTGTACAGGTTAGACGGTGACCTCTGAAAGGTACATCCACGCCCTGATGACAAGTACCTGGGAATGTTACTTTAATAAAAAAATGGAGTAAGTAAAATATACAAAATTTAAGGAGAGTCTTTGAGGTGAAGAGATTATCACAGTTTGTCTGGTAAGTCCTAAATCCAGTGACAAGTGTGCTTGTAGGGACGCCCAGAAGGTGGACTGGAGTGAGGTGACCACATGCCAAGGGACGCCTGGGGCCACCAGAAGCTGGGAGAGGCAGGAAGGGCCGTCACCCAGAGCCCGTGTATGTGGCTCTGCTGCCAGCTTCACCTCACGTTCTGGCCTCCAGAACTGTGAGAATTTCCGTTGTTTGAAGTCATTCCGTTTGTGGTAATTTGTTATGGCAGCCCCAGGAAAAGAAAACAACGGGTGTGTGCACACACATGCGTGCGCGCGCGCGCACACACACACACACACACACACACACCCTGGTGAGCGTGCTACACACACAAGACCTGGACTCTTGATGGGAGCCAGAGGGCAGCTAGGATGGAGGGTGTGGCAGACACCTGGACCATCTCCTCTTGGAGCCTATACCTCCCTTCCACCCAGGCCCTTCATTCTGCCCAGCAGATGCCCACTAGTCGGCCTCAGTCTCCAGGTTGCTGCCCAGGAACGTCACATCCTGCCCTCAGTTCTGTGCCTCGGCACACCCCCACAGCTGAAGGGGCTCAGCTGACTGGTCCGAGGTCCATCGCCCTGACCCCTAGGCCACTCCCTGAGGGGGTCACTGTCCTGTGGTTCCAGGGACTTTCTCCTTCTGGAAGCAGCTCAGCCCTCCTGTCATGTCTGCCTCTGAGGACCCCATGCTGCCCCGAGTGGCCCCTGATGTCTCACAGACTACATGTCCCTGTCACACAGCTGTCCTCTGAGCCTTTTATTTCCCCTCCTTGAAATATGTTCTGTGTCTCTGTCCTTTATCATTTGGATTTTAAAGATGACTTGAGCCATTTTGGATTTTGATGAAGAGTCTTGATGATTTTTCTTATCCACTTTTAGGTGTTGGGGATGTCAATGTTTCCTTCCTGAGACTGAAAACGTAAAGGTTTTCAGCACATTATTACAGCTATTATTATGTTCTGAATGTTGTTCTGAGGGTAATAAACCCTAAATTTACCATGACTATTATATCTAGAATACGAATATAATACCTGGAGATCACGCATTTTGTCACTATTTTATCTCCCAGCCTTTAGAGTTTGACATTCCCTGAAAGGGTATTTTCTTTTAATACAGCTTTTGATAAGACAGTTCTAGTTAGAACAAGTACTTCTTTTTTTAAAAAAAATATTTTTTAAAATTTATTTGAGGGAGAAGGAGAGAGAGAGCGTGAGAGAACACAAGCTGGGTGGGGGGACAGGCAGAGGGAAAGGGATCCACAGACATTCCGCTAAGCAGGGAGCCCAACTTGGGCTCCATCCCAGGACCCCAGGATCACGACCTGAGCTAAAGTCAGATGCTTAACCGACTGAGCCACCCAGGGGCCCCTAGAAGAAATACTCTAAAGAAAACTA